CTTAAAATAATTATTTATATTATACCTGAGAGAACATGATGAATATTCATAAATTTTAGTGAAAGAGATCACTAGTTGGCAGCTTCCTGAATCTTCCTTTAATGAGGAAAGCATCTGTTTATTCACTCTTATTCACTTCATACTCTGTATCAATATGTAATAGAGCCTGAGTTCTGGTGACAGATCATTGGCTATTTACTTGCTATATAATCTTGGGCACATTTCTCAATCCTATTGAATCTAAGTTTCTCATCTGCAAAACAGAGTTAATAATAATATTCCCAATGTTATTTCCTTTTCTTTAACTTCATTCTCTTTATATGTAATGCATTTAATGTTAGAATAATTATTTTAGAGAAATTAATCTTTATTTTTAAAAAAATATCAAGCAATACAAAAATAGAGCTAAAATTACATAAAATGTCACTGCTTGGAATTACCTATGTAACCTCCTGTATTAATTCCTGAGGACTTCATTCCAGATTTATTTATGCAAACAATCAGATACATAGATAGATTAATATAGTTTAAAAGATTAATAGACAGGATCTGTTAATCTCTGAGAACCATAAAAGTACTAGCTCCCCCAAATCCTGCTTATACTAAAGATAATATTATGTAAATATTAAGAATTTGCAGTCACTATGTTTTAGCCACAATTTTTTATTATAGACGGTTTTAAATACTGTCTTAAAAATAAAATTATTCCTCTTTGTGATCTCCTACCTTTACTCCAACTTTTTCAGTTAACGATATAATTTTCCTCTCTCAAATTTTAAATACTGACTTTATATTTTTAATCCAATTTCCTCAAGTTGTTTCATCTTTATTTAATACTTAAAAGCTCACTATTTTAGATTTTTATTGCATGTAACAAATTAACACATATTTAGTAGCTTGAAACAGCAGACATTTATTATCTGATATTTTGCATGGGTCAGGAGTCCAATGTGTTTTGGGTTCAGAGTCTCACAAGACTGAAATCCAGGTCTGCCTGGCTAAGTACTTTTCCAAGCTCAACTATTATTGGCAAAATTCAGTTTCTTATGATTGTAGAACACAGCAGACATTTATTATCTGGTATTTTCCATGGGTCAGGAGTCCAATGAGGTTTGGGTTCAGAGTATCACAAAAGACTCTCTCTCCTTATTATCCTGCTAGTGGTTGCCCAGGAACCAGGCACTCCTTTCCATAGGCAGATCCTAACATGTTTCTTTTGTTCAACTCAGCAGAAGATCTTTCTGAAATTACATATTCTTTAAAGGATCCCCCTGATTAAGTCAGGCCCACTCAGTTAATCTCTCTTTTGATTAACTCAAGGCCAACTCATTAGTAACCTAATTAGAAAGAGATATCTGATCTCATTTAATAGTCGCACACACACTCAAGGAGAAGAGATTACATAAACCATACAAACCTAGTAATGAGAATATCAAGGGCCATGTTAGAATTCTGCCTACTACGCTCAATTGAAATTTGTTTTATTCCTGATTCTTTATTTGATTTACTTATTGATTACTTCAACTACATTAATAAGTAGTTATTTCAAGAAAATATCATAGGAGTTATAGTCCCTGAATTCTTTCTTGCCTAAGAACATCTGTCAGGGGTTACTTTTACTATAAATAGCTTGACCAGAAAAATATTCTTAGATTATTTTTGTTTTCCCTCAGAATTTTATATAGCTTTCAGATGATATTGAAGACTGTTGTGGAGAAATCTGTGATATTTATGATTTCCTGCTTCCCACTCATTGCAGGAGACAAGATTTTTTTCCTGCCTAGATGTCTAGAGAAGTCTTTCATTTTTGAAGTTTATAATTTACCTAGGCTATGTTTTCATATTTGTCTTAATTTGGGAGTATTTCCTCCTTGTATAGCTCTTAATAGTTTTTCTCTTCCATTAACTAGTTTCTCTCCTCCAAGAATAGCAATTGCTTTTATGCTACATCATCTGTGGCCTCCAAATCTGTCAATCTTCTGTAATTTAAAAATTTTTTTATTTACTTTTCTTCATTGAGTTTATTATCCTGTCTTTTCCCCAGGACAGAAATTCAATATTTTACTCTCACTTTCCTGACTCTTCTTGTTTCTAATTTATTTATTAGAGCTATAAATGTTGAAATTTTGAACTTGATTTATTAGCGCTGAAATTTCCTTTTCATTTTATTCTTGTTTAGTACCTTGTCTGTGACCTGTTGTTTTATTGATTTTGTATTTTTATTAAGTTCTTTACAGCTCAAAACCTACTTGGAAAGTTTTATTCTCTTTCTTGGACAATATATTTTCCCTACTGGGTACCTCATTTGTCTTGCATTGCTGCATTCCTTTTACCCACTGTTTTGCAATGTTTATTTAGTTGCTGGCTATTTTTTAAAGCCTTGCTCTTGGTAGCAAATGTGTTTCTAATATGAGTGTTAATTTTCTCTCACATAGTGAGGGTGAAATCTCTTTACTGTAGCATTTTATCAAAACTACAGTTTCAGGACGGGATCATGTTTTCTATCCATTAATCTGCATTGTGAGAGCTGGTTGTGTTGAAAAGGGAAGGAACACCCGAAAATAAAAGCACCACTTCTAAAAAAAATAACTGCCTCTATTTTACCGTTGGAATTTTTCTTAAGGTCCTTTAAGGAGCACAATCCATATAATCCATTTCCTGCTCTGAAAATCTTTGCCTCACTGGCAAATTTTTTCCTAGAGACCATTTCCTAGAGACCATTTTTAGTTCCATTGAGATCCTACTCTCAAGGGCTTCATTTTGACTTTTTCCTACACTCTCTATCACAGTTACAGTTAGCATTCTCAGTGAAAAATACCAGGATTTTGTCAGCTCACCTATTCGCTGGCATGAGGATTAGGGTGACAGCAGAATTAGGAGCTGTTTTGATATAGAATCTTCTGTCTCTTTCCTTTGGCCTTCATTTTTCAAAGTTTATAGCGTTAACATTTTACCACTTTGTATTCACTGTATGTTAGAAAGGCTTCAATCTGTGATGAAGCTTTGCTCAGTCATCCTTACCTGAAAGTTTCCATTCCTTTATAAAGAGCAGATTTAAAATATTGAAAACATCTAAATATCTAAGTGTCACCAGTTAGAAAATTGTTAGATACCCATGCAGCCATAGAAGTATGAGTAGGAAGAAATACTCATGGATTGATATGAAAAGATCTCCAGGATTCAGTGTTAGGTAGAATAGGATAAATGCAAAACACAGTGCATAATAGGCTTTGTGTCAAAAAGGGAGGTGGCTTAATGATGGCATGCTGATCTGCTAATATATGCATAAGTATCTCTGGAAACATACATAAGTAATTAATGGGGATGGAAGACTTTATATACTGCACTCTTTTGAATTTTATACATATGAATACCTACCCAAAAATTACATCTGTAATAAACTTATATCCAAATAGATTCACATTCTGAGGTGCTGGGAGTTAGGACTTCAACATATCTTTTTTTTTGAGTGGAGGACACAAGTTTTTTTTGTTTTTTGCTTTTTTTGGTAGGTGAATATACATAAAGCCAGATGTAAAAATACTAGGATTATTATGGTTCCTCTAATATTGAAGCAATTCTCTTAATAGGCAAAACACTCACTTGTAAAGCCTTTCAAACATATATTTTTGGTTCACCTAGAAACCCCTTTTTTAAAAAAATTATGAAATGTTGAAAAGATCTCAAATAAAATTTATAAAATATTTATAAGTGAGCATGTATATGCCAACCAGGTTAAGAAAGAAAAAATTACTATATTGAAGGCTCTTATGTATTTCTTCCTAAAGCCATTCACTTTCATTTCATCTTCTTCTATGAAACTGCTACTCTGAACTTAGGTTTATCATACATTTGTGTTGTTTAGTTTTGCATGTTTTAAGTTTGTGCTAATTTAATCGCTCCATGTGTATTCTTCTTGCTTCTTCTGTTTAAGACTATGCTTCTTGCAAACTTGGCATTGTTGATAGATGCCATTTAGGTCACTCCTTCTATAAAGTGTTTGCTTAAAGTTTTTGCCTATTTTTAGTAGATTATTTGTCTGTCTCTTACTGATTTATTGAGTACTTTATATATTCTTAAGACCAATCCTCTAGCAAATATTTTTGTTGAAAATATTGTCTTTTATTTTGTAAATTGTATCACTATGGTATTAATAAACACAAGTTTTATTTTTATGTCTTTAAATTTATCAAGCTTTTCCTTATATGATCTCTGCTTATTGTGTTTGTGTGTGTGTGCATGTGTGTGTGGGTGTGGGTGTGTGTACATGTGTTTAAGAAAATTTTCTTTACCTTGATGAAAATACTCATCTATATTCTTTAGAAAACATTATTATATACTATTTATAGAAGTTCATTGTTTGCCTTTTACATCGAGGTCTTTAAGACATAGAGATTATTTTTTAGTACATGTTATGAGGTAGAATTCCAACTCCATTTTTTATTCCAAATAGACAATTATGTGTTCTAACTTCTTTTAATCAAGTGTTTCCCCACAAGTTTGCATAAATCATGTTTCTGCTTTTTTGTTTCTATGCTCTCTCCTCATTTTACTACGTTATTTGTCTATTTCTTCACCATTGAGCTACTGTATTAATTATTGTAGTAATAAATTTTTGATATACAAAAAGGCAAGTCTCCTCACTTTGTTCTGTATCTTGATTAATTGCTTGTTCTTTATTTTTTGCTCATCCATATACATTTTCAAATCACTTGATCAAATTATACATACACACAGGCTTGTTAAGTTTTTATTAGAATTACTTGAATCTATTATTACAACACTGAAACTTCTAATCAATGAACATGATATATATCTCCATCACTGGATACTTTTTCAATATTTTCAAAATGTTTTATTATTTTTCCATTAAGAGCATGCATAGCTTCTCTTAAGTTATTCTGACATACTTTATATTCTTTGTATTGTTATTGTGATTACCTGTTTTGGCACGTACATAAATGTGACTGATTTGTAGATATTGATGTTCTTTAGCCAAAAGGTTGCTAAATTCTGTGATTATTTTATAATGTATTTGTATTGATAAAGTCATAGTAATGTTTAACATACACAATCATATCACAAAAATAAGAATTTTTAAATTTTTCTAATTATTACCTATTTTATTTCTTTTGTGGCTTATTATTCTAACCGAGTCTGCCAGAGGTTTAGGTACAATTTTGAAAAGTGCTCATGGTCATCTTTGTCTTATTCCTGATATAAAAGAGAACATTTTCAAAGTTTCACAGTTAATTATGATGCTTCCTAGAGGATTTTGTTTTAGTCTATTACTAATTTGCTACAAATTTGTATCATAAATGAACCTTCAATTTTTACAAATACTTCTGCCTTTCCTGAATCATTATATGGGGTTCTCCTTTAATCTGCTGATGTAATTAATTACATTGATTGATTATTAAATGCTAAACAAAAGTTGCATTACAAGATGTTTCCAATATGTTTATGCTATCTTTTTACATAATTCAGGCTTTGGTTTATTAATATATTATTTAAAATTTTTGAAACAAAAATGCATTTTAGCACTTTTCTTTCAACTACCCATTTTATTTTTTAGTATCAAAGTCATTGTAGACACATAAAATGAGGAAAGTTTCTTTTTTGTCCATATTGCATAAAATATTCTTGACTATTTTGTATTTAATATTATTTTTCCGTTAAATGGTTGGGTACACAAAAATAATCTAGTGACTAGAAGTTATTTTACTTATTTGTTTCTGTGAAAATATGTTTACCTGCACATCCTGCACATGTACCCCTAAAGTTAAAAGTCTGAAATAAAAAAATATTTTATTGTATTAAAATATGTATTTTTATTTTTTTTTATTTATTTTTTTTTGAGACGGAGTTTCACTCATGTTACCCGGGCTGGAGTGCAATGGCACGATCTCGGCTCACCGCAACCTCCGCCTCCTGGGTTCAGGCAATTCTCCTGCCTCAGCCTCCTGAGTAGCTGGGATTACAGGCACGCACCACCATGCCCAACTAATTTTTTGTATTTTTGGTAGAGACGGGGTCTCACCATGTTGACCAGGATGGTCTCGATCTCTTGACCTCATCGTGATCCACCCGCCTCGGCCTCCCAAAGTGCTGGGATTACAGGCTTGAGCCACCGCGCCCGGCCTAAAATATGTATTTTTAATTTATTTATTAAATATTAATAAAATACATATTTTAATAAATACATGTTTATTTAAATTATTATGTATTTATTTTTAATAAATATTTATTAAATGAATATTTTAAAAATTAAAATTTAAAATATTTATGTATTTATTAAAAATAAATATTAAAAATATTTATGTATTTATTAAAATACATATTTTTGACAAAATTTTTTAAATTTTAAAATATTTATTTAATATTTATTTATTAAAATGCATAATACTTTTAATAAATATTTTTAATATTTATTCATATTTATTAAAATACATATTTTTTAATTTCAAACTTTTAACTTCAGGGGTACATGTGTAGGATGTGCAGTTTTGTTAAATAGTTAAACATGTGCCATGGTGATTAGCTGCACAGACCATATATCATCCAGCATCCATTAGCTATTCTTCCTGACTCCTGATGCTCTCCCTCCTCCCAACCTCCATGCTCTGACAGGTCCCAGTGTGTCTTGTGCCCTTACGTGTGTCCATATGTTCTCATCATTCAGTACCCACTTATAAGTGTGAACATGCTGTATTTGGTTTTCTATTCAATTGTTAGCTGAGGATAATGGCTTCCAGCTCCACTCATGTCCCTGCAAAAAAGCCATGATCTCATTCCTTATTACAACTGCATAATATTATATCATGGATATGTACCACATTTTCTTTATCCATTCTATTATTGATGGGCATTTAGGTTAATTCCATGTTTTTGCTATTGTGAATAGTGTTGCAATGAACATACATATGCATGTGTATTTATAATAGAATGATTTACATTCATTTGGATATATACTCAGGAATGGGATTGTTGGGTCAAACAGTGTTTCTACCTCTAGGTCTTTGGGAAATCACCACACTGTCTTCCACAATGGTTGAACTAATTTATACTCCCACCAACAGTGTAAAAGCATTCATTTTTCTCCACAACCTCACCAGCATCTGTTGTCTTCTGACTTTTTAATAATAGTCATTTTGACTGATGTGGAATGATATCTCATGTGGTTTTAAGTTGTATTTCTTTAATGATCAGTAATGTTGGGCTTTTTTTCATATGTTTGTTGGCTGTATGTATGTCTTCTTTTGGGAAGGGTTTGTTCATGTTCTTTGTCTACTCTTTTGATGAGGTTATTTGATTTTTTTTCTTGTAAATTTAAGTTCCTTGTAGACGCTGAATATTAGACCTTTTCCAGGTGAGTAGACAGCAAAAAGTTTCTCCCATTCTGTAGGTTGTCTGTTCACTCTGATGATAGTTTCTTTTGCTGTGCAGAAGTTCTTTAATTACATCTCATTTGTTAATTTTCCCTTTTGTTGCAATTGATGTTGGCATCTTTGTCATGAAATCTTTGCCTATGCCTATGTCTTGAGTGGTACTGCCCAGATTTTCTTCTAGAGTTTTTATAATTGTGGGTTTTACATTTAAGTCTTAAATCCATCATGACTTGATTTTTGTATAGGGTGTCAGAAAAGGTCCAGTTTCAGTTTTCTGCATATGGCTAGTCAGTTTTCCCAGCATAATTTTTATTAAATAGGAAATCCTTTCCACATTGTTTGTTTTTGTCAGTTTTGTCAAAAATGAGATGGTTGTATGTGTGCAGCCTTATTTCTGGGTTCTCTATTCTGTTCTATTGGTCCATGTATCTGTTCTCGTACCGGTATCATGCTGTTTTGGTTACTGTAGCCTTGTAGTATAGTTTGAAGTCAGGTAGCATGATGCCTCCAACTTTGTTCTTTCTGCTTAGAATTGTCTTGGCTATGTGGGCTCTTTCTTGTTTCCATATGAATTTTAAAATAGTTTTTTTTTTTTCTAAGTCTGTGATGAATGTCAATGGTAGTTTAATGTGAATAGCATTAAATGGCCATTTTCAAAATTGATTCTTCCTATCCGTGAGTGTGGAATGTTTTTCTATTTGTTTGTGTCACCTCCGATTTCTTTGAGGAGTGCTTTGTAGTTATCTTTGAAGAGGTACTTCACTTCTTTTGTTAGCTGTTTAACTAGGTATTTTATTTTTTGTGTGTCAATTGTGAACAGAAGTTCCTTCTTGATTTGGCTCTCAGCTTGCCTGTTATTGGTGTGTAGGAATGCTACCAATTTTTGCACATTGATTTTGTATTCTGAGACTTTACTGAAGTTACTTATCAGCTTAAGATGCTTTTTGGCTGAGACAAAGGGATTTTCTAGATATAGGATCATGTCATCTACAAAAAAAAAAAAAAAAAAAAAAAAGACAATTTGACTTCCTCTCTCCCTATTTGAATAACTTTATTTCTTTCTCTTGCCTGATTGCCCCAGCCAGAACTTTCAATACTATGATGAACAGGAGTGGTGAGAGAGGACAACATTTTCTTATGCCAATTTTTCAAGGGAAATAACTCCAGCTTTTGTCCATTCAGTATGATATTGACTGTGGGTTTGTTACAAATAGCTTTTATTATTTTGAGGTATCTTCCTTCAATACCTAGTTTATTGAGAGTTTTTGACATGAAGGGATGTTGAGTTTTTTTCAAAGGCTTTTTCTGTGTCTGTTGAGATCATAATGTGGTTTTGTCTTTAGTTCTGTTATGAGATAAATTATGCTTATTGATTTATGCATGTTAAACCAACCTTGCATCTGAGGATGAAGCCAACTTGATTGTGGTGGATAAGCTATTTGAAGTGCTACTGGACTTGGTTTGCCAGTATTTTGTTGAGGATTTTTGCATTGATGTTCATCAAGAATATTGACCTGAAGTTTTCTTTATTTGTTGTATCTCTGCCAGGTTTTGGTATCAGAATGATGCTGACCTCACAGAATGAGTTGGGGGAAGTTACTGCTTTTCAACTGTTTGAAATAGTTTCAGTAGGGTGGATACCTGTTGTTCTTTATATCTTTGGTGAAATTCAGCTGTGAATCCATCTGGTCCTGGGCTTTTTGTGCCTGGTAAGCTATTTATTATTGCCTCGATTTCAGAACTCATTATTAGTCTATTCAGGGATTTCTTCCTGGTTTAGTCTTGGTGAGGTGTATGTATCCAAGAATTTATTCATTTCTTCTAGATATTCTAGTTTATGTGCATAGAGATGTTTATAATATTCTCTGATGGTTGGTTACATTTCTGTGGTATCAGTGGTAATTCCCCCCTTGTCATTGCTAATTGTGTTTATTTGAATCTTTCCCCTTTTCTTCTTTATCAGGATAGCTAGTGGCCTATTTATTTTATTGATTTTAAAAAGCAGCTCCTAGAATTACTGATTTTTGAAGAGTTTTTTTTTTAATCTCTATTTCCCTCATTTCAGCACTGATATTGGTTATTTCTTGTCTTCTGCTATCTTTGGGGTTTGTTTGCTCTTGGTTCTCTGGTTCTTTTAGGTATAATGTTAGGTTATTTACTTGAGATCTTTCTAGCTTTTGGATGTGGGTATTAAGTGCTATAAATTTCCCTCTTAACACCTCTTTAGTTATATCCCAGAGATCCTAATCCTAATATGGCGTCACTTTGTTCTCCTTAGCTTCAAAGAACTTCTTGATTTCTGCCTTAATTTCATTATTCGCCCAAGAGTCATTCAGGAGCAGGTTGTTCAATTTCTTTGTAGTTGTGTGGTTTTGAGTGAATTTCTTAATTTTGAGTTCTAATTTTATTGCACTTTGTTCTGAGAGACTTAAGATTTCAGTTCTTCTGCATTTGCTGAGAAATGTTTTACTTCTGATTTTGTTATCAATTTTAGAGTCAGTGTTGTGCAGCAATGAGAAAAAAATCTATATTCCTTTGTTTCAGGGTAGAGAGTTCTCTAGATATCTATCAGGTTCACTTGATCCAGAACTGAATTCAGGTCCTGAGGTGAGGTCCTATATATCT